ATATTACACTTCATCAGTGATAGAAAAACTGCATCTATTTCACATGATGATTCTATTGACAAAGGTTATGACATGCTTTTACACATTAGCACAGCCAAATTTGGAGGTAAAATTGTTTTAACTAGGGAGTTCAGGTTTATGAAAAAGATTTCATTTATTTTGGTACCAGAAACAGACAGGATGACCTGTTATCTTGGTTTGACCCAGGATGCAGAATGCATTTTGTCTTTACTGATATGTGACTTACTAGTCACAATGGCAACAGGATAAGGTGTCTTTTTTTTTGCTTCCATCATCCCATTAGCCAGGCTGGGGTTGGAGTGTGTGTGGGGATATGTGTTAGTGATACCAGTTCTGCCCTTGTAGGGTCTGGAGTGCCTCTGTGATCTGTGGAAGAGGAGGTTAACTACACACTCGTGAGCGGGGGCTGTGAGAGGTTGACCCCTAGGTCAGACTGTGAGTTACCAGCACAGAGGGTAGAGGGTAGCACTTGGAGAGAATCCATGGAGTGTGAAATGAAGAGAGCCTCTCATACAGCTTGAGCACAGGGTAGGAAATGAGGAGTCTGAAGAGGACTGAAGAGGAGATGAGTAGCCTGACGATGATTAGAAGAATCCAAAATCTAAGGAAGAGAGTATCAAGAAGTAGCCACATTGTCATCTGCCTCAGAGAACTAGAAAGAGTAGGATTCAAAATACTCCTTTGGGTTTGTAAGGAAGGGATTGTTGGAAAAATCAATGCATGAGAATAGTTTTTTAAAAAGCCATGTTAAATGAAGGAGCAAATATGAAAACAAAGTTATAGTACTTACAACTGTGGAACTGATACAAGAAAGACAGCACAGTAGATTACAAAGCCCAGAGGCAAATTAAAAATATATAAAATAATTTAGTGTATAGTAATAGTGTAAACAAAACCCAGGAAGCATAAAGGAAAACACTGAGATTTTGAACACATGAAAGTCAAAGATCTTTTGAGAAGGTGGTGGTATGGGTAGGGGTGGCAGGAAGTGTAGAAGTTCAGCTCTGATTACCTCACCTGCCCCACTGTCTTGTGCACTTCGGAAAACTTGTGCTCTTCAGGATTTTGCTTGAACCCTGTCTGGGCTCTTCACTTCCATGTCCTGTGTTCTCCCCTCCATCCCTGGTCCGTCCTGGGAGCACTTGCTTCAAAATCGCCTGCACACTAATCCTCATCTCATGGTCTGCTGCCCCGGGGAACCCAACACAAGACAGCTTTGAAAAAGGACCACTTCTATAATTCCACATATTGGGAAACCTGTTTCAAATTAAATGTTTCCCTGGTTGGGTTTTGTGGAACACTAGTCCCTCAATGTACTCTGGGGGTAGGGCACTTGAAGGGCAGCTTTTAAACTACTCAGTTAAAATATATTGATGTTGTTAGAATGACAAAGCATATTACAAAAAGTTTTTTTTTTCAGTTTAGTTTTACTCCATGCTTATACACACCAAATGCTTTTTCTTGTGTTTTCTTGTAACCACTCAATGGAGTAGGGCAGGTACTATTGTAATGGCCTTTTTACTGGTGTGGAAAATAGTGGTTAGAGGGGTAGTGACCTGCCAAAGGTTCATAACTGGGGTTGGAATTCTTGCTCAGATTGACTCAAATTCTATACTTTTCCCACTATACTAATGGTCTGAAAGAATTGACATATACCCTGAAGTGTCCAGTCTCACAGAGACTAACTAGCAAGACTTCTGCTGACATGTCCTTTCACAAGGTGGGGTCAGATAGGGGTTTGCTGTGATGCGCCTGAGTCCCTGATAAGAGTGTAGCAGTTGGGAGGTCAAGCTGGGTTGGAATGGAAGGTGACAGGGTCCGTTGCGATGGTGCTGAATTTGTGAAAATGGTAAGGGATAGAAGACAGTTGGATATGGTTTGGGAAAGAAAGAAGACAGGACTGTTGATTTGAATCTCACTGAAGGAAGGAGTTTGGGAAAGAAAAGTGAGATTCCAAGGATTGAGCCATGTGGAGGAACCTTGAAGAGCGAAGAGCCATTGAAGAAGGGACCCCTGGAAGCAGGAAAACAAGATAGTGTGGGGTGTTTGCTGGGAGGACAGGGAATCAAGAAGGAGAGGTTATTTTTTTCAGAGGAGAAGGATCACATTTTTTCTGAATCTGGAGGAAAAGAATATGCTGGAGAAAATGATTGTAGACGTTTATATAAAGTGGATTCGATCTGGATAAATGAGAAGGCCACGTAAATTGTTTGGCTTGGGACGGGAATAAGGCTGAGGCTTTGGTTAGTGCTAAGAAGTTACATGTTATTGAGTGCTTACTATGGGCCAGGCACTGTGCTAACCACCTTATGCAAATTGTTTAATTTCATCATAAGTTCAGCCCCCTAAAGACAATGTGGTTATTCTTGCCATTTTGCAGATAAAGTAATTCAGGTCCAGAGAGGTCACATGATCAGTACGTGGTAGGGTTAAGCTTTGAACTCAGGTCTGTTTGATGGTAGGGCCTACATGTCAACCCTCATGGTTTATTACTGAGGAGAGGAGAAAGACTGAAATCCTGTATCACTTGCTCACAGTGGCTATTCTACTGTTATTGAACAAAACAACTTATTCTTACTTTCCAGGGGGCAGATGATTTCTGCTGAAGATTGTGAATTCATTCAAAGGTTTGAAATGAAAAGAAGCCCTGAGGAGAAGCAGGAGATGCTTCAAACTGAAGGCAGCCAGGTGATCAATATAAACATTATATCATGAACACTTCTCTGTATCATTAAAAATTTTAGAAATGTTTTTTAATGACTGTGTGATATTCCATTGTAGATATGAATCATAATTTAACTACACATCCTTTATTTTGGGAAGACATTTGAGTGATTTCTAGTATTCTTTGTTAATGCTGGAAAAAATGTTACATTGAGTATGTGTATTCTTTTACCCTTTTTTGCATTAATGAAAATCTTCTTAGAATCTTCTTAGATTCCCAGAAGGGAGATTACTGTTTCAAAGTATATGATTTTTTTTTTTAAAGTAAATTTTTTTTTTTTTTAGATAACTTTTTCACTTTGTATTCTCACTAGAATAATATGCAATTCTGCCGTCCCATCAGATTTTCTGATATGGGGCCCTGATTGGCTAAGGAGCTCATCTGCGACTGAGTCTGATTCTCACAACAATCCTGGGAAATTTGGGAGGAAACCTATTGTTGGTGTCAGTTTTTGTTGAATTCCAGAGAGAGTGTTATATACAAAGGGTGCAAAAAAAAAAGTATATACATTTTAAGAAAGGAAAAAGCTATTAATTGTAATACTCAATATATATCGATACCAAAAGATGAATACAAGTCACGCTTGACTTCTGCAATTACAAGAGATGTTCAAAGTGGTTACCATCAGCGTCCAGACACTTCTGATTACGGTGAACTACTGCTTGAGCACAGATATCATCTCTTAAAATGTGTATGTTTTTGGCACCCCCATTAGTTGATAAGTTGTAAAGTGGAGACAGGTCAAATCCTTCTGATTTCAATGTGTTGCTCTAGTGTTCTGCTTCCCAGTAAATGCAAAAAAAAAAAAAGCAAAAGAAAAACCCAGTGATAATATTTGATTGTCTATATAACTTAATCTTTATGTTATGGATAATTAAGAGTTGATGGTGGCTAGGTCTTGTCTTTTTAAAAATAGTAAGCATTTTGAAATTGATCACTAGAAATTATGGAAAATCTGATGCAAGTCATAGTATGGGCCTCTCATATTTCATCACAATATTTGTTAATGTTATACATTTTTCTGTAATTGAAATCTATTAATAGCATTTGTATCCTAATTTAGGCAAGCAAAATATTTTACTGAAATTCTATTAATATGTTGTGTTTGCAGTTGAAAACAATAATTGACATTGATTTTATTTTTTTCTAGTGTGCTAAAACATTTATAAATTTGATGACTCATATCTCCAAGGAACAGACAGTTCAGTACATACTAACTATGGTTGATGATATGTTGCAGGTAGGTATAGTCTTTATTTAATACAAAACTATATAGAAAAGTATACTCAGAGAAATGCCACCAACCCCTCCCCTATCTCTTGCACACCCTTCCCGCCTACTTCTTGTAGGTAACCAATGTCCTAGATTTCTGGTTTATCCTTCTTATTTTTCTTTTTTGCAAAAATAGGCAGGTACATGTATATTTTCTTACATCCCCCCCTTTTTTTATATACAAAACTGTGTACCCTAAGAAGAAGAGCTTTATCCATATTCTCTTAATGATTTGTAACTGGGTTGTCTGGGACGATGATGGCTGGTGGTATGTTTTTAAGCAGAAGTTGAAACCACAGAGGACTAGTTGAGGAAACAGGTTTTAAACTTATTTAAAATGTATAAAATAGTTTCTACTCTTTATGTATGTAGGGTATTTTGTTCATTTAAGTGCACAATGAGAGTTAACATTTTAACTTTGGAAATAATCCACTAATGGAGTTAATGATGACTTACCTGAATTTTGAGTCCTTTGATAAAGTCATTATCATAACCATTTCCATTGTTATTTTAAACTATAATGTGTATTACTTAAGGAGATGGTAGTCTATTCCTGAAATGGGTAACTATTAGCACAGGCCAAAATTACAACCAGTGTATTTAAAAAGAATTAAATCTTGATCTGAAAATTAAAATGATTGTTTATGTGGTTATTTGCGCTTTTACCAAATATTGACACTTAGAAACCATATTCACTTAGTGAACCAAAAAGTGGATTTCAGCCAGTAATATGCAGAGAAAATTTAGGTGAGAGGTAGAGTTTGCATGATTTGAACTAAGAATTAATTGTTCCTCAAATCCTAAATCCACCTGCTAGTGTGACATGCTGTTTTTGGCTGTCTTTGCCCTGATTTTTCTATCATATGCTAGGAGTAACTTCGAGCATTTGAGATTTCTCTAATTTCTGCCCCTTGCCTGCTTGTAAGACGCTTCCTGCTGATCCTTTTACCTAGAGCTAATTTGTGATCTTTCTGTCACCTTCCGAGTTTGTTTGTGTGGAAGCAGGGTAGAGGTGTTGAGACAACGTTGGGAAGGGCAGGTCAGAGGTGCAGGCTGAGAAGAAATGTAACTTAGAATGCTTCACCTTGCAGGGCTGGGATCTGTTATCTTGGCTCACTTGAGTTAAACTAATCATAATAATTAAAGGTGATTTTATTTTTAAAATATCTATCCCTGCCCCCATCACCACCCTGTGCCCCATATTAATAATAATAACATGGGGACAAATCTCATACACACTGGAAAAAGAAAGCACATGGATTGATGGGACATAAAATGAAAAGTTGAGAAGCAGTGCACAGTTGTTACATTTTTTAAGGAAAATACATTCTGATTAGTGATATTTCTTTTGTTTTTAGGAAAATCACCAGCGTGTTAGCATTTTCTTTGACTATGCTAAACGTAGCAAGAACACTGCGTGGTCCTACTTTCTGCCAATGTTGAATCGCCAGGATCTCTTTACTGTTCATATGGTAAATTTTGACTTGATCAAATTTCTGATTTAGGGAAGAAACATACCTGGGTCATTTATGTCTTGTTAACCTCCCTGTTCCCAGAGGAGTAACTGCTGTGATGTTAACTTTTCACAGCTGTGTTTCCTTAGTGGTGTTTAATAATGTGGGGATATGGGGAAGACAAAGGAGACAGGATTGCTCTGATACAGTTAAAGTTTTATAGAATATGATGATGATTTCATTAGCATAAAAGCCTGGTAATTCACATGTACAAATAGCACTGGATATCTATGACAGGATTAACCGAATTTTACTATAGAAATTAAATATTGCTTTGAAGCAGCTACTGTGTTTATTATTTTAATTAAGCAATTATTACTTGCTTTTTAATATCTTAAATACACTCCTGTTTTAAACTTCTCCTGAAAGCCTATCATTGGAAGTCTTAACACTGAAGAATCTTTTAAGGAGTATGTGGAGAAACTATGAGAGGAGAGTTGAGAGAATAAATCTTTGACTAAGCCTTTTCTATTCCCAAAGTGGAGTGAGCTCCTGTGGAGAGAGCTCCTGAGACTGCTCAGTTCAGTAATGTCTAAATTTTTCAAATCAAGAACCACTGTCAGTGAAATAATCTGAGCATGTGTGTTCTCTCTTCCTCTTTCTCTCCCTCCCTCCCACCTTATATATCTGTATTTATGTACTAGTATATTCATATATTGTATATATTATAATAAAACATTTATTAAAAGAGAAATTAAAAAGGACTTATGAAATAAATTCTATTTTAAAGAATACTTTTATTTTTTATTTTTATTTTTACTTTTTTTAAGGATTTTTTTTTTTTAATTGGGGAAATAGGGGATGGGAACAGCACCGGGGAATTGGGGGAAGGGGAACAGACAAGCCACTGCCCCTCTGCTCCTCAGTCCAGCTGTGGAGGACGTCGCCCACTGGCCCAAGCTGACACCATCATTGCGCTCTTCCCGGGTGAGGCAGATCAGTCGCCAGCTTCTGGATGGCTGCTCACAGTGGCTGCTGGCCGCTCACACTGGCTGCTGGCTACACACGGTAGCCCATGGCAACCCACTGCAGCAGGGGCTACAGCCTACGCTGTCACCGGCGACTCACGGTATCCCAGCTCCAGGTCGAGCTGGTCACCGGCGACTCATGGCAGCCCAGCGCCAGGTTGAGCTGTTGTTCAGCATCTTAGCTGTAGAGGGCAGTGTCACTGGCCCTCATATGTGGGATCTGAACCGGGGCCCTCTGGCATCCCAAGCCAGCTCTTAACCAACGCACTACTTGGCCGGCCCATAAATTTTTTTTTATTTAAGCATTTACTGTATTGTTTGATCACACCTCATATATATACTGCCTATTTAATAAAAAAAATTCATGACTAGTTTTATAACTTGAAAATTAAGACACCTTTGAGGAGAAAAGGTATGTTTTTATATATCAAAAGATGGATGTTTAATACCAGGATATATTTTATACCATGATACAGATTTTTAAATATGAGAATATACAAGGGGCTTAGAATGAGCAAGGTATTGGCTGGCAGTTTGTTACAGAGATTGGTCAGAAGACTGGCAAAGGATTTGATGAAAGTCTACTGCTGAGAAAATTTATTGTGTTCTTTTGATTTTTGCTGGTCTTCTAATGAATTTCAACCTTACTTTTAAAACTCAAAATAATACAGGGAATGTAATGAAATTCTTAATTTAACAACTAATTTTGGTTCACTGTAATGGAAATACTTGAAAATACATTTTGACTATATTTAAAATATATCTTAAAAAGTGAAATATTAACTATTATTTTTTGAGGAGTTGGGTGTTAAAAAAAATTCATGCAACAAAATGGTTACTAGTCCTGGTTTTTAAGGTATATGATGTGATTTTTAGAATCCATGTAATAATCAGGTATATTTCTTATTTTTCAGGCAGCAAGAATTATTGCCAAATTAGCAGCTTGGGGAAAAGAACTGATGGAAGGCAGTGACTTAAATTACTATTTTAATTGGATAAAAACTCAGTTGAGTTCACAGGTAAAGGACATTTCTTATGTGCAATTATTAATTTCACATAATTGCTGAGTAATTGGTGTTTGGAAACACTGACTTGCTTTCAGAAAGTATTGAAAGAATATTAAATTGGGTTTGTGTGTGAAGAAGCATTTTACACTGCCTACTTTTTTTTGTGTGTGTGTGTGTGTGTGTGTGTGTGTGTACGTTGCAAGTGCGTGTGTGTATATATATATTTTAGATTTACTGTGGTATAATTGACAAAATTGTAAGATATTTAAAGTTAATTATTCGCATTAATGTAAAATTATAAAAATGTTATATTAAAATACCATTTTGAACTTGATAAGTCAAACTACTCTTAGGTATATGGTATGCTTCACTTTCTTTCTTTGACTGGCTTCGACTGAAACCGTTCTGTCCTTTCTGCCACTTGAGATTTTCCATTCATGCTTTTCAGTGGACAGGGAGTACCTTCCTTCAGGTGGCTGTTGAGATCACACAGGTCAGAGAATTGAAAGGATTCTTACAACTCCAAAGAGCGTACTCATGTCAGGCTAATAGAAAAGGAAAAGAAACTGTACGGCGGGGGAGAGTGCAGGCAAGCTTTGGGGCTGAGAGTCTTCCAGGTGCAGCTCCCACGTCTGCCTTGGGACTCTGAACCACCAAGATTTGTGCGAGGAATGTTGGTTTTGAGAGAGCTCTCCAAAAGTTTCTAGTGTGATCTTTCCTTGCCCTTTTGGTCACATAACCAGGCCAAAATGTCTAACCAGTTACACCAATAAACAAACTGGCTTTGGGTGCCACCAGGGGCGTTTCAAACTGCAACCAGCACATTATAGATCATTAATCAATCCACTTGCCCTAGTCTTGGCCAAGAGTCAATACCAAGCTTCCAGGCACCCCTGGGTAAGCTTGGAGCTAGCTACTCAGTCCAGCGTGACGTAACTGTCTCTCCCAGTGACTCCTTCCCAGGATTTCACTGTATCATTGTGGGATTGAATATTTAGGCCTAAGGTTAAATATGAAGCCTGCTTATTGGTTGTCTTGTTGCTTTCAGGTCTCTCTAGCTCTACTTCCCCACGGAGGAAAATAGCTTGCTGGTTTAATGGCTGGGAAAATGACAGGTTTTCTGTTTTTGTCTTCATGGTTCCCTAGAACAGGGCAAAAGATGGAACACTTATGATGGCTTAGTGGAGTATTTCTTTCTTTTAGTCTTTCAGTGACTAAGTATTAGGTGGTAACGGGGGGACATGGTGGGAATGATCATCAGAAAAGGGTGAAATAATAGTGGGGGTGCAGGGGAAGGAGTATTTTGTGGAAGAAAAGGTAGAAGAGAATGAGATTTTGAGGTGGGGATGGGTGACATGGAGGAATGGGACCGGGAGAACTAATATTGGTAGTTATTGTATTGTCAGTGTTAAGATTACAAATAACTGTCTGTTTGAAATTCATTTTTGGAAAGTTGTCATTTAGATTCAGTGACATTATTTTAATTTGAAGCATAAGAACTTAAGACACCATGGCATTTGCTTAGGTTTATTGTTTGTCTTATTGCCTGTCTTTTTTGGGGGAGCCTAATTGTCTTTTATATTTGGATAAGGATATTTTGGAGTGTTTTGAACAAAATAAAGTGTTTTTTTATGTCAATATCATAAATTTTAACACTTTTTGGCTTAGTTTTTTAAAAAACATTTTTACAAGAGCCACAAGTTTGCAGACTTTGGTGTTTGTGAGGTGTTTCAAAAACAAGATATTTGGAACATGAAAATCTCATCTTGTGAGGATGAGATTTTAAATTTCTAAATATATATCACTTGGGTTCATAGTTAAATAGGTAACACCACTGCACCCTTTTTTTTCTATTTTGAGTTGATTCTTCCTTTGAGCAAACTTTATCCTGCTTACTGTTATGTTAGCTTTATGGTAGAGTGGTAATGAGGCTCTATTGTAGCTAGATTCATAAAATGAAAATTGGTAGGAAAGGATGTGTACTTGTAGTTTTTCACTAACATTTTGGGTTGTTTCTTCTTAGACTTTTCCTCATAGGAGTAACATTTATATTGTGTTGCAGACAATTTGTCACCTTTGGAATGATTATCTATGTTTGTAACCTTGTTGAGCAATTAGGGGAAATATTTCTGTCATCAGTAGTGGAAGCAAATATTTCAGTGTCTAGAACAGTTTTCATTAGAATTGAGCTTGTTGGCATTAAGTAAGTACTCTTTAAGACCTCTTCTGTATCTTTCTAGCGCACTCTTTATCACTGAATCTTTGGCTTTGTTTAGTTATGGTGTGGCATTTCTGCTTCGCAAGTTCTTCTGGAGGATGATTCTTCAGGGTGCGCAGGCCCCGTCTGGCTTTGCTTCTCAGAGTCTGGTCACTGCGTCTGCTGGGCTCTGGATTGCACTGTTTCTCTTGCTGTGGGCAGACACTTCTTCCATAGCCATTTATCAGGATCAGATTACAGACTTCTTGTATAAAGAATGAAACATAGGATTATTTGGGATTTTATTTGATACTTTGCTTTAAATGTCATGTGATAGTACTATATCTGGAATGTCTCTTTTTCTGTCGTGTTTTCCCCCTCATAAAAAGGATCACAACTTCTGATTCTAATAGAAGTAAACTTTCAAAAATCCAAATTAATTGCAAGTTTGGATATTTTGTTCTTTGACATAGTCATTTAGGAGCCTTTTTTGGTAGTTTAAGCATTATACTTGAGTTATGGGAGTTTATGCCTGACACTTAGATAATAGTTATTGAATAAAACAAAATAAAAAATTTCCTTTCAGAAATTATCACTTTTCTCTTGCATATTCAGCCTTTGACTTTCTACCTTAAAATTTCTTTGGTCACTTTTATATAACATGTGAGATTTTGATTTTCATTATAACTTGTTAGCATTGCTATGGATAACCACATTTTAAGTTTTGTGTAGTATCTACCCATCATCAGGATCCTATTTCAAAGTTTTGCTACAGAATATAGTGTAGCTAGTTCAGCTTAAGACAGTTGTCTTTTTGGAGAAATAATTCAGTAAGTAAATTCTAAGACTTGGAAATTTACACCAGCTTCACTTATGAATGTTAGCTAGAGCTTAGTATTTGGTTTATTATTGCTCCATTTTTAATAATTTACTAAGACATTATCTGGAAAAGTTAATGATATTTAGAATATTCATATCACTCATGCTTTTTATTAGATGATACTCCATTAAGTAGGATTAGGAAAAAAATTATAAAATTTGCTTAGCTCCCTTTCATACACTGATAAATTAGGATAAAATGAAAAACAAAACTAAGTAATAAGTTATTTATTTCATAATAGAAACTGCGTGGTAGCGGTGTCGCTGTTGAAACAGGAACAGTCTCTTCAAGTGATGTAAGTACATTCCTTCTTAATTCACTGGCCTCCTAACACCCTGACTAAGTTATTTTGAGTCATAGACATTTAAAAATTTGAAGATGGATACTAGTTCTCTAAATGTAAATCCATGGATTTGAGCCCAACTCAAGTTAGGTTAATGGGATTGTAAAAATTATATCTAAACATTTATGGCCTATAGTGATTGATTACCTTTTTGTGGGTAGACATGAGACTTGAGCTTCCCTGTTGCTCTTCTTTTCAGGCCATTTTGTCTCAGACCTGAGAATCAAAGCAAGAGTGTGAGTTCAGATACACAACTGGAGCGAATAATCATCAAGTTTCTTTCTTCAAGCTTCATTTGTCTGATAAGCTAATAGACCTGTTGTCACTGCATCAAGCAGTTGAAAAACAGTTTGATTATCTGATGGCACCAAACTTGTTAACTTGTACTGTGTTGGTCAAGGCTTTATGTGGGGCTACATGGTGGCCAGAATAGCCCCCACAAACTTTTTTTGGCCGTTCTCTCCCCACATTTATTTTGTAGAGCCAAAAACTTAAAGGTTAAAACTAATTGTGTCTCCCCAAGTTCCTTTCTTGGTTAGAGTTATTTCTCCTATTTGGGACTGGTTTAACTTTGTTGTATTCAGAATAGCTGAAAAACTGGCAATAAGTTTGGACAAGTAAGGGCTGGCATGATTGGAGCCAGCTGAGAGAAAGATGGGGGGCGGTGGGCAGTTAGAAATGTAGGTGAGATGCATCTAACTTCATTTGTTGGGAATATCTCTGGGAAACTGGAAAGCATCTTGAGAGGAGAGGGTCTACAACCTGCGTATGTTAGACCTAGGTGAAGCTCTGTAGAAGCCATTTAATGTCCATATTAATTACCAATACTTCCTTATTTTGCATGGAACATACCTGTTTGTATTGTCAGTTTGAGACTATAGATAGCAGCAGAACCCATTTTCAAAGCCAAGAGTGGGGCTTCTCTTGGGGCATGGGTTGAAGGATTTAAGGGTATTAGGCCAGAATATGGCCATTAGGCTTCTGAAATGGAATCAGCAAGGTGTGGAACTAGATGAGGAATCTTAGGGCCAGGGTGGGGGACAGAGGTAGTTGGTTCAAAGTCTAGATATTCAGCCATAAGCAGATAATTAAATTGGGAATCTTTATTTTATATGAGTTAAATTTCCATCAGTTTGAAAAATTGTTTAACCTGTGTATTAGGCTTATTGGTAGGCTTTTCAAAAGGCGTTTTTAGAATCATATGTCTTATAAACTAATTTGAGTGGTTATTAAAATATTTGTAAGTTATCAAACCTTAGATAATGAGGTACAAGCTCTGGTGACATGACATTCTTAGTTTGCTCTTTTCTGTCCATTGTATTGAAAAAAGAAAACTGATTAATTGAATTGGCAGTCCATTAGTCAAACTGATTATCTAGTAGACTCATACATATACATCCCAAACGGAATTAGCATCAAGGGTGATTGTGAGTAAGGAAAAAATGGCCTCTGATTTCCCACTTCTTCCCTTTCGTGCCCTTCAGACCTGAAAATGCTCTGTCTTCCTGAAGGTTCTCATTTTTTCAAATGGCTATCAACTTCAGTAAGTTGAGAGTAGGGTGTTAGCCTTCCTTTGATAGCTAGTTTTATTTTAATAGGGGAATCTGAACAGTAGTTAATGTGCCTGACGCTGTTTTACTCATTTTACAATTACATCTCCATGAGTATTCACACTCCCTCTTTGACATAGGTCTTCCTGTAAGCCGTGTTTTACGGATATGAACAGAGAGGCTACACTAAAAGGCACACCAGTTTGCCCAAGGTCATTCAGCTAATGAGTGGCAAAATCCTCAGAGAAATGAATTACTTACTGAAAGAATTACTTTTGCGGCAACTGTACTGAGTTGGATCTTTAGGCATTCTCAACTCCTATAGCTTAGTCAGACTTTTGAAAATATTGATATTCTATCTTAAAATCCCTTTAGGTTTTCAGAGAGCACAGAAAAGTAGTTTGGTAACGTGCATTACACGATATTGCCACTTGATGTCAGTATGAAACAAAAAAAGTTTTATATTGCAAAATGCTAAATAAACATGATCCAACAAGAGTCTTAACTTAAAATGGGCATGGAAGCATCATCATAATTGCCGACGTTTTCTTTAAATGACATTACATAGATTTATGGCATTTCCTTAAAATGCATTAATTGTCTTTGACTAAATGTGAAAATAATAAATGACATCAAATCATATGTACTTAAACTGTGTGTTCAGTTCTTTACTGGTTCTTGAATATGAAGGGCCAGTCTTCTGTTCTTCTGAGGAGGCCACACAGTCTTGGGAGTTGATTGTTGTGCTGATGCCCTGACAAAAAGAGGAATACTGTGATCCCTCACAAATTTGGAGGCTTTATAAAGAATCTGGAAATTTTTGTTTGTTTCTTTGTCTTCTTTTTCCTTTGCCCAGCTTCATTTATACATGTGTGTAGGGGCACAGGGTGACTCCTACCTCCTGCATTTGACTGTGGCCTGTTCTCTATTTGTGTTGTAGACCTAGTCTAGCATCTGTTATTGCTAGATGAACATTGTTTTACTGCTAGAAAGGCACTTGATTAAATTGCCAGGTTCTCCTTTAGCTTATTTTATCTTGTCTTTTATTGTTCTGGAGCAGTTCTGTCCAGTAGAACTTTCCATGACGATGGAAATGTTCTGTGTATCTGCACTGTCCGTGTGATAGCCTAACCGCATGTGGCTAGTGAGCATTCGGAACTGTGGCAAGTATGAGTGAAGAAGGAAATTTTCAGTTTTATTGAATTTTTTTACAGTTTTATCGAAATATATTTCACAACCATAACATATATCTATGTGCAGTTCAGTAGGTTTTAATATATTTACAGACTTGTGCAACCATTACCACAATCTAATTTTATAACATTTTCAACACCTCAAAAAGGAAACACTGTACACATTAACAGTCATTCCTCATTCTTGCTCCCCGCCCCCAACCTTTGGCAACCACTACTAATCTTTCTGTCTCTGGAATTGCCTCTTCTGGCCATTTCATATGAATGAATTATATAATATGTGATTGTGACTGGCATCTTTCACTTAGTGTAATGTTTTCAAGATGTATTCGTGTTTTAGCAGATAACAGCGTTTGACAAACTTTTTTGGCTTTGGCCAAATTCCTTAAGTTGTTTCTGTGGCAGCTCTAATATCCTTGTTGCTATGAGGTTCGTTTTACTTCTTTGGCTTTGTTTTTGCTTTAATGTTGTGTTGATGTAGCACTTCTTAGTCTTGAAGAACAAGTAGAGTACTTTAGTAATTTAGTCCTTTTACTTTGTTGATAAGTACATCAAAAGTACTGCACAAGTAGCTGGAATGAGTGAGCTGCATCACTAGCCCAAATCTTTCAGGCCTGACAACTATCGTCTGTTCTAGCTGGCAAGTTGTAGTCTGTGAGGACTCAAAGTAATTAACAATCAATCATATATCTTTGCACAAGTTTCATGATCATTGTCATTTATCTAAAGCAATTCTTGGATGATTGTCATTGTTTGATTGCCTTTTATCTTATCGAAAAATTACTACATTTTAAATGTTGGGGATCATTAAAATAGATGTACAGAATAAGTGTTAAGGAAAGGAGTAAAGATAAGAACCTCTGAATTTTGTTTCTGTGATCAGATTTTTGGAAGGATTACCTGAAGGTATATTCTGGCAATGCAAAAGAAAATCAAGTGGTAAGGAATTTCAGTATAAGACTTTCTTTTACATATCATTTCCAAAGTATAGCACCAACAAAAATGAAGTAACATGATATTGTACATGAGATGTGTTCTTGGAAGTTGTATACAAAGCAATAATTTATAAAGTAAATCATATTTTCTCAAGTTCACAATAGTTTTTCCTCATAATGTAGAATCCCAGTAGTCATGTAATTGATTACATGATGAGGCAAATTAGATTAAAAGCAATACTTGAAGGAGATTTATAAATTTGTAAATTTTAGTAGTGAAATTACTTTTTTAGTAACACAAGTCTAAGACTTAATTACTTAAGTTAATTTAGGTGTTAATTTAATCTGGGTCTTTTATGAGTATTGACTTGATCTTTTTTAATAAGCCAACCTCAAGTGAATTCTTGGGCTTATATATGTATTTTAGTTCCTGAATGTGAGGTGGTAATAATATTAATAGTAATCAAGTAATATACTTTAGAATTGTTTTGTGCTTTATAGAAACTGATTTGAGTAGCAGCTTTTTTTTTTTTGGTAGGGCTGGTATTATTTTCTTTTATTGATGAGAAAACAATTTTGAAGAGTTTGAGCTGCCAAAGATAATTTGGCAAAACTTTTGATCTTTCTTTTTTTATGTCATAATTTATATAAAGTAAAATGCACATATTTTAAATGTTCAGCTGGAAATTTATACATTATGTGTCCTCCTACTCAATACTTTCCTTCAACTCAACTTCCACAGAGGTTATCATTATTATGACGTCTATTACTATAGGTTAGTTTTGCCTGATCTTGAACTCCGTGTAAGTGGAATCATACAAAGTATGAACTCCTTTGTGTCTGAATTCTCTTGCCCAGTATTGTGTCAATGAGATTCATTCATGTTGCATTTAGCAGTAATTCATTCTTTTTATTGCTATGTAATAATCTATTAAATGAATATTCATTCTTTTTATTGCTATATAGTAATTCTCTTATTGATGGATATTTGGGTTACTTCTAGTTTTTGGCTATTGTGAATATTCTTGCTATAAATAGTCTTGTACATGTCTTTTGGTAGATGTAGTCACTTAGGTCTAGAGAGCACTTAATTCTAGAATAGAATCGCTGGGTTATATGTAAATTTAGTATATATTGCCAATCAGTTGTCAAGACCAATTTCTGTATCTATGAACAAAGTATGAGAATTCCAGTTGTTTCAGTTGCCTACTGACACTTGATATTATCGTTATTTTTTTAAGGTGAAAGAGGGGCAAAAATCACACATACATGTG